CGCACTTGCTACACATGCCACTGTCAGACAAGACGGACAAGAAGGGGCGAGACAACCAGGCAACAAAATGTGCACCAGAGCTTCATTATTACACTGACCGGCACCAGTGGAGATGGACAGCGCACGCATCCTCCTGCTGCTCCTCCTCCAGCTCTTCCTGTGGCTCCTCCCGCTTCTGCTGCGCCTCCACGTCCTGCTTCCCAAATGGAGAAGACGGGAGAAGAGGAGGAGCAGCAGGAGAACACGCTGACCCACGTGGACACACGAGCCATGCACGAACGGCTCGCGAAAGAACTCACAGGCACCGCCGTCCCCGTTGCCGCCGTCGATGTGCATGGTCACTGCCCTGCCCGCGCCCCCTGCTCCTGGATCCAGCTGCCCCCCGCAGGCGGTGCCGTGTCGATGCGAACACGTGACCCAGCACGCTTCATCTCCGTGACCAGGGCCATCGCGGCGTCCTCCCGCCGGACACCGGTCTGCACGGAGGATGTCAAGCCCAGACCGCCGACGGGGACCCCAAGCCTCTCGACCGTCCCCCCGTTGAGCAGGGATCGACCGTCCGGGCATTCCTATAGGCGCTATGCTCTGAGAACAAAAACAATGCTCTTAGAACATAACGCCGATGCGCTAAAGCAAGACAGTCTCAGCCAGAAATGGCCTAAAAACACGTCGTGCGGACCACAAAAAAGACCCTTTGCTGTAGGCGAGCCAGAAAATTTCGCCACTGCCCGACCCTGGGACCGGCACCTCGTCCCGAGTGGTTGTCGGACAGTCCCAGGGTCCGAAACCGGCCTCTGGAAGCCGAAAGTCTTCAAGAGCTAACTAAAACGAAATAGTACCCCGACGGATGGACCCCACATGTGCAGTCGGGGATGGACAGAACCCCCTTTAGTAAAACGTGGTTTAGTGAAAACGGCCTCGGGCCCCAACCTGGCGGGCGCAAGCCTGGAAAATGACGGCCGCGGCGCCCTCTCGAGAACCGAGAACGGACAATTCACGAATCGACGTGTCACTGTTGGGGGTTCTGTCCACCCCCGATGCATCTCATTAGTTTGTCTTAGAATAACTCTTATATTTTTTCGTCCATCCCTGGGATTACAAAACATGAGGCGCGGGCCCCATAGGGGAGGGGCCCACGCTCGAGCCTTGCTCACGAGTCGCTCACTGACGAGGCTCCAGCTGAAGACTGCCTCCATACGCCAACCTCAGGAGCTCAGAAGCGACGACAATCACAGGCTTCGAATGACACACTTGGATTAAAAACGTGAAGCGCGGGCCCCTTACGGAGGGGGCTCCGGCCTGAGTTGTTCACAAATCACTCGCAGACAAGGCCCCTGAAGATTCATGCCCAGTGGTCCTAATTATAGTGACGACCCTTACACGTTTCTGGTAACCCCTTCGGATTAGTAACATGCAGCGCGAGCCCCATAGGAAAGGGGCTCCCGCATGAGAACTCCTCACAATTCACTTACCGACAAGGCCACCGCCTGAGACTTCCTGAAGATTAAAGCCTCAGGGGCCCTAAAGTGACGACCGTTACGCGTTTCGGATGACTCGCTCGGATTGGTCACATGCAGCGCAGGCCCCATAAAGAGGGGTGTCCCGCAAGAGACGCCCTCGCAATTCACTCACACACAAGGCCCCCACCTGAGACTTCCTGAAGGTTCAAGGCTGCCAACGGCCAAAAAATGACGACCGTTACACGTTTCGGATAACCCGTCATGAAGTAGGAAGGCACCAACTATACACCAACACCGATCCTGGCCAGGATCACCCTGGGCCCAGGATCGGTGTATACGCCCTCCTGCCTTGGGCAAGAAGGCATATACACCGGTCATGGGCCCAGGGTGATCCTGGGCCAGGGTCGGTGTCGGTGTATAGTTGGTGCCCTCCGATGAAGTGCAGGCCCCATGGGGAGGGATCCCGCCCGAGACTTCCCCACAGCTCGCTTGCTGACAAAGGCCTCCGCCCGAGACACTCTGAAGACTCGAGCCTCGGGGGCCCAGCAGTAGCGGCAGCCGCACGTTTCGGAGGAGCCGCTCGGACCTGCCACCGTGCCCCCACGGCATGCTGGGGCATGCGGGCCCCATGGGGAGGGATCCCGCCCGAGACTCCCTCACAGCTCGCTCACGGACAAGGCCTCCGCCCGAGACATGCTGAAGACTCGAGCCTCGGGGGCCCAGCAGCAGCGGCAGCCGCACGTTTCGGAGGAGCCGCTCGGCTCTGCCACCGTGCATCCCTAGGCATGCTGGGGCGTGCTAGAGCGCCAAGTGCTGACTGGTAGGGTTTCTGGAATCTTCTAAGGGACCCCCCCCCCTCTGGGACGCGTAGAGAGTCGCGTGCATCGCCCCCTCTTCCCGAGGCTCCGTCGGTTCCAAGACGCGTCCTTGGCGCTCCCCAAGGCGTCCAACATCCCCAGGATGGCTTCCGAAACTGCCCTGGGACCACCAAAGCCGCCAGGATGGTCCAAGATACCTCCAAGACCGCCTAAGAGGCCCCG